ACGCTGTTTTGAAGGCACCACACCTTGGCACTCCCCAACCGTTGTAAAAAATATTTTGTAAGCTATAGAAATGCATTTATTCATGTCTACATTTGTTTTTGCCACAATTATTCTATTACAGTCACTTTAATGCATACTTTTAAATTATATATGACCTTAACATGCAAATACATTTTTTAAATTTTCCTTAAAGTATACTTTTTAGACAGTACTAATGTTACTGTCCCCACTACAACCAAAAATTACTTAAATACCTGTAATTTTGTCCTTGAAACATTAAATTGAAATACTGTAGAATTCCATTCATTCTTATTGAGGACTGCTTTTCTGAGGAGTGCCAATATGGCCGACCAGTGACTTCAAAGCCTGTCATTGGCCAATACATACTGTAGCATCAGCAATCCAGGGATTATATACATCATTGGTTTTAACAGTGACGTCCTTTAATGGTGACGTGGTTCAACAACGATCCTTCTTTCAAAATGTTAGGCTATTCATGGACACTGACAAATACACTACATAACCAAAAGTATGTGGGACACCTGCTTGTCGAACATCTCATTCCAAAATCATGGGCATTAATATGGAGTTGGTCTCCCCTTTGCTGCTATAACAGCCTCCACTCTTCTGGGAAGGCTTTCCACTAGATGTTGGAACATTGTTGCTTGGACTTGCTTCCATTCAGCCACAAGAGCATTAGTGAGGTCGGGCACTGATGTTGGGCGATTAGGCCTGGCTCGCAGTCTGCGTTCCAATTCATCCCAAAAGTGTTCGATGGGGTTGACGTCAGGGCTCTGTGCAGGCCAGTCAAGTTCTTCCACACCGATCTACACCAACCATTACTGTATGGACCTCACTTTGTGCATGGGGGCATTGTCATGCTGAAACAGGAAAGGGCCTTCCCCAAACTGTTGAACAAAGTTGGAAGCACAGAATCGTCTAGAATGTCATTGTATGCTGTAATGTTAAGATTTCCCTTCACTGGAACTAAGGGGCCTAGCCCGAACCATGAAAAACAGCCCCAGACCATTATTCCTCCTCCGTCAAACTTTACAGTTGGCACTATGCATTGGGGCAGGTAACTTTCTCCTGGCATCCGCCAAACCCAGATTCGTCCGTCGGACTGCCAGATGGTGAAGCGTGATTCATCACTCCAGAGAACGCGTTTCCACTGCTCCAGAGTCCAATGGCGGCGCACTTTATACCACTCCAGCAGACCCTTGGCATTGCGCATGGTGATCTTAGGCTTGTGTGCGGCTGCTCGGCCATGGAAACCCATTTCATGAAGCTCCCGACGAACAGTTATTGTGCTGATGTAGATTCTTGAGGCAGTTTGGAACTCTGTAGTGAGTGTTGCAACCGAGGACAGACGATTTTTACGCGCTTCAGCACTTGGTGGTCCCGTTCTGTGAGCTTGTGTGGCCTACCACTTCACAGCTGAGCCGTTGTTGCTCCTAGATGTTTCCACTTCACAATAACAGCACTTACAGTTGACCGGGGCACCTCTAGCAGGGCAGAAATTTGACGAACTGACTTGTTGGAAAAGTGGCATCCTTTGACGGTGCCACGTTGAACATCGCTGAGCTCTTCTGTAAGGCCATTCTACTGCCAATGTTTGTCTATGGAGATTGTATAGCTGTGTGCTCGATTTTATACACCTGTCAGCAACGGGTGTGGCTGAAATAGCCAAATTCACTCATTTGAAGGGGTGTCCACATACTTTTGTATATATAGTGTATGTGAAGGGGGTCAGTAGACCACTCACTAAAGAGGTGGTGGTGGGGTTCTAAACAATAGAGCATCATTGATATAATAGATCATATGGTATGGTTGGCTGGCCCCTATCCTACTCATGCTATTCTTCACCCAGGCCACCCTATGTCGATGAAAACAAAATATGTTACATAAAAGACAGCAATTAAATCAACATCATGCAGCCTGTCACATTTACTTAAAGAAAAATATATCATGTTTACAGTGGTGGAGCCCCGGGTCCTGGTAGAACAGAACCCCACGTAACAGCCATACATCACTTCTGGCGCCCGAGACGTTGTGATGGGTATAAGACAAGATATGAAGGCACACACAGTTGCTTTATGACCCCGATGGTGTTTTATGAGTGGTGCCATCTCCACTCCTCCTCCTCTGTACCCCCCTCTCCCTCCATCGCTCACAGACACACATTGGAACCATCTAAAGCTGTCACATATGTCAGCCTGTAGATGACACTTGCTCCTTCATCACAGCATTTATGCCTCTCCCCCCAGATCCTCGGATGTCTGGGGGGAAAGCAGAGGGCGTCTCAGCCAAAAGGAGAGTGGGATTGGATGGGCTTTTGTAGAAGATGTGTTGTTAGTGCTGCTGTGTTTGGATGCAGCCCAAGGCCAGGTAATTTGGCTTACAGACGGGTAATAAACTACTCCCGTCGACTCTTCTCTGCCTGCTTAATTAAGATATATGCACTTCTTAATTCCTCCGACGGCTGTCTCATACGCCATGGTGGAAAGAGAATAAATGAACATGTCTATGAATACAGAATTGGAGACTTATTTGAGACTGATCATACATTAATTTAAGAACAACTACAGTTGACAAATAACAACTGAGACCTGGGTGTGTTTTTAAGGGTGGGGAAATAGAAGCTTGTACCTTGTACTTCAGCTTTTGTCATTCCCGGGAAGGTTCCTACTCCTATTAACAGTTTTATATGTTTTACAATAACATCAATATTCAGTTTCTAGCCCTTATGTAGGCCTCAATGCCTTTTCTGGGTTAATGTCCTATGGATTCTATAGTTTCATCAGTATCATCTGTCCGTGACAATCATGTATGCTGAGGATTATGTCTGAGACCAACTGTCAACATTGACAACTAAAACGTTTCTAAAGCAGTCAGAAGAACGCTTCCACATGAATTAGCCTACAAACTGAAAAAAATATAATACATAAGTAATTTGAATTTCAAGTTTAGCAAATGCTTGGTTCAGACAATGAGCTAATTTGTGGCAGGTTTCTCTATCCAAAATGTGTCTTTAACCAAAAAATACTAGTCAGGCATCACCACACTGGGGCAATTTGGAATCTGTCAACCATACAGTAATGCTGTGTCTAAATATTCTATCTGTCAACCAAGTTGTTAAGATGTGTTTAACAACAAATATTTAACAGTCAAGCATTTCTCAAGCATGTTCTTGCACAAAGTTTGGCTTTGTCATCCTGTTTTTCATTTACCACCTAACTCATATATATTTATTATCAGCTTTGACCTTAATGACGACTACACGGCAGAAACATTCACCGAAACATATGCCAGCAATCAGTCACTGACTGTTTTCACTCATCCTTTGTTTTCCATGTCTATGTTGAATTGGTTCTTCTATGGCTTATTCTGTAAAGCACTAAGATTTATAAAGACAAGTGTATCTTGCGTCATTGGTGTTCATTCGTCATAGTAACCAGGGATTTCTGCTCGCCAATTATTTTCAGAGGAACAAAGCTGTATTGTAAGGGTAGCTTAGTGGTTAAGAGCGTTGTGCCAGTAACCGAAAGGTCGCTGGTTCTAATCCCCGAGCCAACTAGGTGAAAAATCTGTCTGTGTCCTTGAGCAAGGCACTTAACCCTAATTGCTCCTGTAAGTCGCTCTGGATAAGAGCGTCTGCTAAATGACTAAAACGTAAATGTAAATGTGAGTAATCATAAGAACAATCATAGTATTAAGTCTGCACCATTTGAAACATTTTCTTCTTTTGTTTTCCCAAACAAGGAAAAAATACAAATAAATATACTCTTAATTATGAACATATAATATACACATCCACTATCAAAGGAAAAACAGAAAGAAATGATTAACACTCATTTTTTATGCTTACATTCCTTTACAAAAGTGTACAGTCCCTAAGAATGAGACACTGAGGTATAAACTGGGCCTTGACAGACCGACCCCAATGCCCGCTGGGACACGGAGGTCAGAGGTCAGGCGATGATAACATGTCAGTTTCCCTCCCCAGTTCAGTCTGTTAGAGTGAGAATTGACAGAGGCCAGTGTATGCGTCTTTCTCTTTGCGTTCCCACACTGACTTACAGCATCAGACAGTGGTTGTTCTTGGAGACGGCGACACAGGAGAAGGGTGAGGGCTGGTGTGTCCGGGGAGCACAGGGCAAAGGTTTTAGTTTCGACCCTCTAGCATTAGATGCTGTTGCTTTAGCAGGTTAGCATATGGTACTGGTAGAGATTATGCTAACCTGCTGAAGCATTTCGGTTGGGTGGAAAAGGAGAGTGACAATGGCTACTAGGGACATGAGCGCCACAGTGGTGATGGTGAGGAGAAAGGATGTCACAGTTTCAGCATTTATTTCTTCCCTCTCCCCTCTTGTCTTTTCCACCTCTATACTTCCTAGCTGCATGCCTTGTTACATGTAATCCCTTTTCCTGTGAATCCCTATTATTATTCCACAGTGTAGATCTTGTGTTTAGGTGCATGTTGAGCAATAGAACACTGGTGCCCTACTGCCTCATGGCTTTAAAAGGGGCAGTGAGGGATACTGACAGAACACATACCTGTCCAGTAAGAAGCACCTAGAGGTTCATGAACCCACTCTGAACACAGGAGAACTGAAGCTGCATGGGTATTAATCAAAATGGCTCGCTGACAGGTTCGACCTCTTAGTGGGTAAAACTTCAACACAAAAGACAAAAGGGATTACCTTTTTACATAGCTGCTCCACAATGAGGATATGAAGAGAGCCACACAGCTTTCACCTGCATATGTTGCTACCAAATTCCCTCCCACCACAAAACAGATATCATTATTTGATGATATGGGTACATGGAAAGAAAAATTACTGCTCTGTACAGTTTTAAATTAAATAACTTCTTGTGTTTTGAATGGTGTTGTCGGGAGGTTGGCTGAGCAGACAGGAAAATAATATGGTAAAGGGGATGGGTCTTGACATATGACAATGACAGGGACAATGTAATAGGTGGGAGGGAGCTTCTTGGTGTCAGGGAGCGGGCGGGAGCTGCACCCCCAGCAGCTCGTAGGCGAAGATGTTCCAGAAGATGGCAAAAAGAAGGAACGTGATGAAGGAGAAGACGATGACCCACCAGGAGCACTGCTTCTGCAGGCTCTCCTCATAGCTGCGCAGGATGAGCAGGCCCATGCTGATGCCTACCACCGCCCCCGATAGGTGGGCCATGAAGCTGGGCTGGGGCCCTGAAGAGGGCAAGGGTGGGGAGAAGCGCAGCCACACGGCACGGCCCACCTCCGAACTCACTGAAATCGAAAGGAGAGGAGGAAGTTTTAATCTCCTCCTCCATTATGGGGGTGCCACAGGGTTCAATTCTCTGGCCAACTCTATTCTCTGTCTATATCAATGATGTCGCTCTTGCTGCTGGTGACTCTCAGATCCACCTCTACGCAGACGACACCATTTTATATACATCTGGCCCTTCATTGGACACTGTGTTAACAAACCTCCAAACGAGCTTCAATGCCATACAACACTCCTTCTGTAGCCTCCAATTGCTCTTAAACGCTAGTAAAACTAAATGCATGCTCTTCAATCGAACGCTGCTTGCACCCGTCCGCCCGACTAGAATCACTACTCTCGGCGGGTCTGACTTAGAATATGTGGACAACTACAAATACCTAGGTGTCTGGTTAGACCGTAAACTCTCCTTCCAGACTCACATTAAGCATCTCCAATCCAAAGTTAAATCTAGAATCGGCTTCCTATTTCACAACAAAGCCTCCTTCACTCATGCTGCTAAACATGCCCTCGTAAAACTGACTTTTTTTTATTATTTTTTTTATTTTTTTATTTCACCTTTATTTAACCAGGTAAGCCAGTTGAGAACAGGTTCTCATTTACAACTGCGACCTGGCCTATCCCACCGATCCTTGACTTCGGCGATGTCATTTACAAAATAGCCTCCAACACTCTACTCAGCAAATTGGATGTAGTCTATCACAGTGCCATCCGTTTTGTCACCAAAGCCCCATATACTACCCACCTGTACGCTCTCGTTGGCTGGCCCTCACTACATATTCGTTGCCAAACCCACTGGCTCCAGGTCATCTATAAATCACTGCTAGGCAACTCCCCGCCTTATCTTAGCTCGTTGGTCACCATAGCAACACCCACCCGTAGTATGCACTCCAGCAGGTATATCTCACTGGTCATCCCCAAAGTCAACACCTCCTTTGGCCGCCATTCCTTCCAGTTCTCTGCTGCCAATGACTGGAACGAACTGCAAAAATCTCTGAAGCTGGAGACTCTTATCTCCCTCACTAACTTTAAGCATCAGTTGTCAGAGCAGCTTACCGATCACTGCACCTGTACACAGCCCATCTGTAATTAGCCCACCCAACTACCTCATCCCCATATTGTTATTTATTTTGCTCATTTGCACCCCAGTATCTCTATTTGCACATCATCTTCTGCACATCTATCACTCCAGTGTTAATACTAAATTGTAATTATTTTGCACTATAGCCTATTTATTGCCTTACCTCCATAACTTACTACATTTGCACACACTGTATATAGATTTTCTATTTTTCTATTGTGTTATTGACTGTACGTTTTTGTTTACCCCATATGTAACTCTGTGTTGTTGTTTTTATCGCACTGCTTTGCTTTATCTTGGCCAGGTCGCAGTTGTAAATGAGAACTTGTTCTCAACTGGCCTACCTGGTTAAATAAAGGTTAAATAAATACACTTAAAAAAGGCTACTGAACAGTGGGAGAGATGCAGGCCCAATACACGGTCGAACAGTAGGCCACAGAGACTTTGATATGTGAAAATGTACATTTGTGACTTGTGTACTAACTTTCCAGTTTTCCTTACTGTAATATATTGTGTTGTGTTTGTGTATTTGTGTGCTGACATCACAAAACGATTTTCCATGTAAATGGACAATAAAGTATATTGTATCAATATCAGTGGAAATGTGGGATTTGGCAGATAGGTTTATGGTTTTGAGTACAGTTCAGTAGAAGGCAAAAGCAAGGGTGCAGATTACATAAGAGTTACACTTCTGGCCAAGACTAGGGCTTTGCTAAGGCTATGTTAACGGATAGGGTTCTGGCTAAGGATAGACTAGGCTGAGGTATGGTCAGACGAGGGACAGATGGAGGGGACATACAGTGCCTTGCAAAAGTATTCATCCCCCTTGGCGTTTTTCCTATTTTGTTGCATTACAACCTGTAATTTAAATTGATTTTTATTTGGATTTCATGTAATGGACATACACAAAATAGTCCAAATTGGTGAAGTGAAATGAAAATAATATCTTGTTTCAAAAATTTCTAAAAGATAAATAACTAAAAAGTGGTGCGTGCATATGTATTCACCCCCTTTGCTATGAAGCCCCTAAATAAGATCTGGTGCAACCAATTACCTTCAGAAGTCAGATAATTACTTAAATAAAGTCCACATGTGCGCAATCTAAGTGTCACATGAACTGTCACATGATCTCAGTATATATACACCTGTTCTGAAAGGCCCAAGAGTCTGCAACACCACTAAGCAAGGGGCACCACCAAGCAAGCGGCACCATGAAGACCAAGGAGCTCTCCAAACAGGTCAGGGACAAAGTTGTGGAGAAGTACAGATCAGGGTTGGGTTATAAAAAAATATCCGAAACATTGAACATCCCACGGAGCACCATTAAATCCATTATTAATAAATGGAAAGAATATGGCACCACAACAAACCTGCCAAGAGAGGGCCGCCCACCAAAACTCACAGACCAGGCAAGGAGGGCATTAATCAGAGAGGCAACAAAGAGACCAAAAGTAATCCTGAAGGAGCTGCAAAGCTCCACAGCGGAGATTGGAGTATCTGTCCATAGGACCACTTTAAACCGTACACTCCACAGAGCTGGGCTTTACGGAAGAGTGGCCAGAAAAAGCCATTGCTTAAAGAAAAAAATAAGCAAACACGTTTGGTGTTTGCCAAAAGGCATGTGGGAGACTCCCCAAACATATGGAAGAAGGTACTCTGGTCAGATGAGACTAAAATTGAGGTTTTTGGCCATCAAGGAAAACGCTATGTCTGGCGCAAACCCAACACCTCTCATCACCCCGAGAACACCATCCCCACAGTGAAGCATGGTGGTGGCAGCATCATGCTGTGGGGATGTTTTTCATCGGCAGGGACTGGCAACCTAGTCAGAATTGAAGGAATGATGGATGGTGCTAAATACAGGGAAATTCTTGAGGGAAACCTGTTTCATTCTTCCAGAGATTTGAGACTGGGACGGAGGTTCACCTTCCAACAGGACAATGACCCTAAGCATACTGCTAAAGCAACACTTGAGTGGTTTAAGGGGAATGGCCTAGTCAAAGCCAAGACCTCAATCCAATTGAGAATCTGTGGTATGACTTAAAGATTGCTGTACACCAGCGAAACCCATCCAATTTGAAGGAGCTGGAGCAGTTTTGCCTTGAAGAATGGGCAAAAATCCCAGTGGCTAGATGTGCCAAGCTTATAGCTACATACCCCAAGAGACTTGCAGCTGTAATTGCTGCAAAAGGTGGCTCTACAAAGTATTGACTTTGGGGGGGTGAATAGTTATGCACGCTCAAGTTTTTTTTTTCTTTCTTATTTCTTGTTTGTTTCACCCCCAAACATATTTTGCATCTTCAAAGTGGTAGGCATGTTGTGTAAATGAAAATGATACAAACCCCCAAAAAACCAATTTTAATTCCAGGTTGTAAGGCAACCAAATAGGAAAAATGCCAAGGGGGGTGAATACTTTCGCAAGCCACTGTATTGAACACTAACGAAAGCCATAGTGAATTGGTCCGCATGTGGGGAAAAGTTGCTGCCATACAGCATGAGTAACATCGTCTGAACAAAATACAACATATCCAATTTGCAACCCGAGGGCCACTCATTCCTCCCCATTAACGACTGCACTTGAACAATTCTCAACTAATTTTAGGAGGCCAATAAATCCCACTCACGTTATAAATACCTCACAATTCAATTATACTGTGAGCAGGTGTGTGGACATGAGGAAGGCTGAAAGTTAAGGGGTGTTATACACATACCTCCTAACTGTTTAGTTAAAAAGGAAAGTCTTCAATGGAGCATACCACCTCACACCAATTATGTCAGGATGCAGCTATGACCATAACACCAATGGCTCTCTTGAGAATGAATATAGTGTGTCTATGGAATGGATATAGCATGAAACTTACTGCACACCAGCGCCAGAATCATGCGGAGGAGCTTGTATGGACACCGCATGCCAGCCCAGTTCTGCAACACAGAGTGAAAGAGGCAAGTCAAACACAAACACTCAGTTCCAAAGATCTGCATATTTACAGATTACACAGTATCTCCACCATCTCTGTATTATGTCAGGAATGTGTGTAGACCACAAAGCGATCAGAAATCCATTTCCATACAGGCAGGATGAGGTCTACTAGACAGAGAAATAATTATACACCTGGCTGGTCTCCATTCGGTGGTTTCACCTCGCTGACGATCTATTAATCAGGGTTAAGATACCTTAACAGAGGATGAGAACGGCCCAATAAAAAACCCTGTGTTCCTCCTGGGATAAAACAAAAAGCTTCTGCCTCACAATAACGTATTTATTCCCCAGGATGAAGAATTGCACCAATCACATCCCTCTTCATGTCCTCTGGGTCCTGGGAGAAACGGAGGGAGCAGCAGTGTTTTTCGCCATGCAGAGGAAGCCAGGCAGGCAGAGCTGAGCGCCATGCAAGATTAAAGATACTAAAGAAAGTCAATAAAGTGGAGTCCTATAAACATGACTCTGCTCATATGATTAATATCTCTGTGGGACGGCAGGGCCTCATAAAAGTGCGGTAATATCACTAATAAATTATGAGTGTCAGAGTAGCGGGAGGTCAACCAAGCTGCATTAATAAGGAAGGGGGTTTGTTTTACATGACTGTGCTCTCATGGAGAGAAGTGTATTTCCCTCATTTTGACTGTCTCAATACCAAGCTTAGGGATTTGAGTGAAGCTGTACCTCCACAGAGACAAGGGGATACTAGGGTGCTTGTAGTACAGTTTTCTGAAAGCTGAATACTTTTCTTTGGCATTTCTAAATATGTCAAAGACCCTGTCAGCTCCGAAAAGAAGTGTCTGTTTTTAGATGTCTTCATTCTTATGAGCAATGCTAATCTCATTTTATCCTATTATTGTCTTTAGCTTGTCACTTTTTTACACTCGGTACAGACAGATCGACATTATTATTATACACTCTCCTTGAAAGAGTTGTATTCTGCTTCACACACTTTCTGCTTCACACACTATTCTGACATTTCACATTCTTAAAATAAAAGTGGTGATCCTAACTGACCTAAGACAGGGAATTATTTTACTAGGATTAAATGTCAGTAATTGTGAAAAACTGAGTTTAAATGTATTCGGCTAAGGTGTATGTAAACTTCCGACTTCAACTGTACTATAGAATTCTATAGAATTCTGCAGTAAACTGTAGAATCCTATACTCCACACTGTAGTATTCCTCGATCGTGTAGTGCTTACTATAGACTTTTGTAGTATACTGGAGAATAATATACTACATACTGTAGTATCCCCTGAATGTGGCGATACTAGTGGAACAGATCTAAGAAGTCATTTTGGTGTGCTCTTGTTAATGTGTGTTATCTGTCAAACAAGCAAACCTAATCCTCCAAGCTTTAATAAACTTTGCTTGTTCTTTATATCTGCCTCTGTACTGTTTCCCTTTAATGGACCTGTGTCTAAAGTTTAGACGTTACAATTGTAATAAACATTTTATACTTTTGCTAAGGTGTTGTCTGGTCCGTTGCATTGCTCAGAACTGTTGACCCAACAATAGGTGGCCTGCTACGAACCTGTGTGTCTTATGTTCTGGTTGAGGTGTTCCCCTAATTAAACAGTAACTGGCGTAGCCTGGTAGTTGTGCCATTTTAGCTAACCCTAGTCAGCAGGTGTTATAGATTTATTATTTGATTTATTAGGATCCCCATTAGCCTACGCCAATGGCGACAGCTGGTCTTACTGGGTTCCGACACATAACGAAAAATACATTACAGTCAAAATACTTTACAATTTACATACATTTAAAAACATTAGCATGTACTGTGTGTGCATCTATCAGTTACACATCTCAGTACATACACACAACAAGTAGGTAACATGGGGGAGAGGCGTTGTGCTGTGAGGTGTTGCTTTATTTGTTTTTTGAAACCAGGTTCACTTGCGCTATATAAGATGGAAGGGAGTTCCATGCACTCATGGCTCAGTTTAATACTGTATGTTTCCTTGAATTTGTTCTGGACCTGGGGACTGTGAAAAGGTGGCATGTCTTGTGGGATTAGTGTGTGTGTCAGTGCTGTGTTTAAGTTGACTAGGCAAACAATTTGGAATTTCCAACACATTGTTTCTTATAAAAACAAGAAGTGACACAGTCAGTCTTTCCTCAACTCTTAGCCAAGAGAGACTGGCAAGCATAGTATTAATATTAGCCCTCTGATTACATTGAAGAGCAAGACGTGGTGCTCTGTTCTGGACCAGCTGCAGCTAACTAGGTCTTTCTTTGCAGCACTTGACCATATGCGTGGACAATAATCAAGATAAGTTACAACTAGAGCCTGCAAGACTTGCTTTCTGGAGTGTGGTGTCAAAAAAGCAGAGCATCTCTTTATTACGGACATACCTCTCCCCATCTTTACAACCATTGAATCTATATGTTTTGACCATGACAGTCTACAATCTAAAGGTAACACCAAGTAATTTTGTCTCCTGAACTTGTTCAACAGCCATTCATTACCTGATTCAGCTAAGGTCATAAGTTGAATGCACCAATTTGTATGTTGCTCTGGATAAGAGCGTCTGCTAAATGACGTAAATGTAAATGTCTACATTTTAGGGAAGGATTTGTACCAAATACAATGCTCTTAGTTTTAGAGACGTTCAGGATCAGTATATTACTGGCCACCCATTCCAAAACAGACTGCAACTCTTTGTTAAGGGTTTCAGTGACTTCATTAGCTGTGGTTGCTGATGCGTATATGGTTGAATCATCAGCATACATGGACACACATGCTTTGTATAATGCCAGTGGCAGGTCATTGGTAAAAATAGAAAAGAGTAGAGGGCCTAGAGAGCTGCGCTATGGTACACCACACTTTACATGTTTGACATTGAGAAGCTTCCATTAAACAAAACCCTCTGAGTTCAATTAGATAGATAGCTCTGAATCAACAATATGGTTGAAAAACCATAACACATACGTTCTCAACAACAGGTTATGGTCAATAATATCAAAGGCTGCACTGAAATCTAACAGTACAGCTCCCACAATCTTCTTATCAATTTCTTTTCAACCAATCAGTCATTTGTGTCAGTGCAATACATGTTGAGTGCCCTTCTCTATAAGCATGCTGAAAGTCTGTTGTTAATTTGTTTACAGAGAAGTAGCATTGTATTTGGGCCTGAGGACAAAGACTTTCCTCTAGGCTCAGAATAAAGATGTGACAGATAGGAGTGGCTATAGAGTCAGCTACCATCCTCAGTAGCTTTCCATCTATGTTGTCAATGCCAGGAGGTTTGTCATTATTGATCGATAACAATGCTTTTCTTTCATAATTCGTTTTTTTTATTTTTTATATACAGTGGGGAGAACAAGTATTTGATACACTGCCGATTTTGCAGGTTTTCCTACTTACAAAGCATGTAGAGGTCTATAATTTTTGTCATAGGTACACTTCAACTGTGAGAGACGAAATCTAAAACAAAAATCCAGAAAATCACATTGTATGATTTTTAAGTAATTAATTTGCATTTTATTGCATGACATAAGTATTTGCTACATCAGAAAAGCAGAACCTAATATTTGGTACAGAAACCTTTGTTTGCAATTACAGAGATCCTACGTTTCCTGTAGGTCTTAACCAGGTTTGCACACACTGCAGCAGGGATTTTGGCCCACTCCTCCATACAGACCTTCTCCAGATCCTTCAGGTTTCGGGGCTGTCGCTGGGCAATACAGACTTTCAGCTCCCTCCAAAGATTTTCTATTGGGTTCAGGTCTGGAGACTGGCTAGGCCACTCCAGGACCTTGAGATGCTTCTTACGGAGCCACTCCTTAGTTGACCTGGCTGTGTGTTTCGGGTCGTTGTCATGCTGGAAGACCCAGCCACGACCCATCTTCAATGCTCTTACTGAGGGAAGGAGGTTGTTGGCCAAGATCTCGCGATACATGGCCCCATTCATCCTCCCCTCAATACGGTGCAGTCTTCCTGTCCCCTTTGCAGAAAAGCATCCCCAAAGAATGATGTTTCCACCTCCATGCTTCACGGTTGGGATGGTGTTCTTGAGGTTGTACTCATCCTTCTTCTTCCTCCAAACACGGCGAGTGGAGTTTAGACCAAAAAGCTCTATTTTTGTCTCATCAGACCACATGACCTTCTCCCATTCCTCCTCTGGATCATCCAAATGGTCATTGGCAAACTTCAGACGGGCCTGGACATGTGCTGGCTTGAGCAGGGGGACCTTGCGTGCGCTGCTGGATTTTAATCCATGACGGCGTAGTGTGTTACTAATGGTTTTCTTTGAGACTGTGGTCCCAGCTCTCTTCAGGACATTGACCAGGTCCTGCCGTGTAGTTCTGGGCTGATCCTTCACCTTCCTCATGATCATTGATGCCCCACGAGGTGAGAACTTGCATGGAGCCCCAGACCGAGGGTGATTGACCGTCATCTTGAACTTCTTCCATTTTCTAATAATTGCGCCAACAGTTGTTGCCTTCTCACCAAGCTGCTTGCCTATTGTCCTGTAGCCCATCCAAGCCTTGTGCAGGTCTACAATTTTATCCCTGATGTCCTTACACAGCTCTCTGGTCTTGGCCATTGTGGAGAGGTTGGAGTCTGTTTGATTGAGTGTGTGGACAGGTGTCTTTTATACAGGTAACGAGTTCAAACAGGTGCAGTTAATACAGGTAATGAGTGGAGAACAGGAGGGCTTCTTAAAGAAAAACTAACAGGTCTGTGAGAGCCGGAATTCTTACTGGTTGGTAGGTGATCAAATACTTATGTCATGCAATAAAATGCAAATTAATTACTTAAAAATATCACACAATGTGAATTTCTGGATTTTTAGATTCCGTCTCTCACAGTTGAAGTGTACCTATGATAAAAATTACAGACCTCTGCATGCTTTGTAAGTAGGAAAACCTGCAAAATCGGCAGTGTATCAAATACTTGTTCTCCCCACTGTATGAGTACGATGGCTCACAGTTCGTGGTTGGCATTTCCTGCCTAAGTTTGCCCACTTTGCCAATGAAGTAATCATTCAAATAATTTGCAACATCACATTGTTTGGTGATGAATAAGCCATCCGATTCGATTAAAGATGGAGTTGAATTTGTCTTTTTGCCCATAATTTCATTGAAAGTACTCCAACGTTTTTTTGTGATCTTGGCTTCGTAATGCAGTTTCTTCTTCAACTAGTCATGTCCGCAAAACACTGGTGAATACTAAAGTAATGTCAGCAAAAAACACTACAGTGAACACTACAGTAAAGTCTGCAAAAACAACTACAGTAAATACTAAAGTATACTACAGTCATGTCAGCAGTGCTTGACTTGGGATGAAAGAAGTCGGTCCATTAAACTTTGTTCACTGAAATTCACAATGACATTATGCTATAGAGACCTCTGATTATTCACTGTTAAGGGTTCATACACATTTTCCATGACTTCTCCATTACTTTTAACAACATTTTCATGACTATTATTATAGCCTACATGAAAAAGTAACCATTATTGACACTGGAAGGCTGCTGTGTCTGATCCCATGTAGGCCTACCATCTTCTGCCGTTGTGCCCTTGATCAAGGCACTTAACCCCCCACAAAGTAGAACTGCATGTGGTCAACATGTGGTCAACCCTCCATCTGGAGAGCTCCTGGGTGTGCAGGCTTAGCTTTTGATTCAGCCCTGAAACACCCAAGTCTGCTTATCAAGGTCCTGTTGAGCAGCTGATGTTTAGGCTACAATGTGGTTAGACCAGGGCTTGAACAAAAGCCTGCACACCCAATAGCTGGAAGATGGTTGCCACCGTTGATATAAAATATTGCAACATAGCCAAATACTTTTGTCTTTGTATTCAAATGAATAAGGTGGGCATTAATATGGAATTGGTCCCCCCTTTGCTGCTATAACAGCCTCCACTCTTCTGGGAAGGCTTTCCTCTAGATGTTGGAACTTTGCAGCGGGGACATGCTTCCATTCAGCCACAAGAGCATTCGTGAGTCAGGCACTGATGTTGGGCGATTAGGCCTGGCTCGCAGTCTGCGTTCCAATTCATCCCAAAGGTGTTCTGTTGCCACAAATTTGGAAGCGCAGAATCGTCTAGAATGTCATTGTATGTGTGTTAAGATGTGTGTTAAGATTTCCCTTCACTGGAACTAAGGGGCCTAGCCCCTTAGCGTGACCCTGGACAACACCCTGTCGTTCTCCGCTAACATCAAGGCGGTGACCCGATCCTGTAAGTTCATGCTCTACAACATTCGGAGAGTACGACCCTGCCTTACACAGGAAGCGGCACAGGTCCTAATCCAGGCACTTGTCATCTCCCGTCTGGATTACTGCAACTCGCTGTTGGCTGGGCTCCCTGCCTGTGCCATTAAACCCCTACAACTCATCCAGAATGCCGCAGCCCGTCTGGTGTTCAACCTTCCCAAGTTCTCTCACGTCACCCCGCTCCTCCGCACACTCCACTGGCTTCCAGTTGAAGCTCACATCTGCTACAAGACCATGGTGCTTGCCTACGGAGCTGTGAGGGGAACGGCACCTCCGTACCTTCAGGCTCTGATCAGTCCCTACACCCAAACGAGGGCATTGCGTTCATCCACCTCTGGCCGCTGGCCCCCCTACCTCTGCGGAAGCACAGTTCCCACTCAGCCCAGTCAAAACTGTTCGCTGCTCTGGCACCCCAATGGTGGAACAAGCTCCCTCACGACGCCAGTACAGCGGAGTCACTCATCACCTTCCGGAGACACTTGAAACCCCACCTCTTTAAGGAATACCTGGGATAGGATAAAGTACTTCCTTCTACCCCCCCTTACCCCACCCCAAAGAAAAAATATATATATATTATTGTAAAGTGGTTATCCCACTGGCTATAAGGTGAATGCACCAATTTGTAAGTCGCTCTGGATAAGAGCGTCTGCTAAATGACGTAAATGTAATGTAAAATGTAGCCCAAACCATGAAAGCGTGATTCATCACTCCAGAGAACCCATTTCCACTTGGCTAGTTAGTCTGTTGTCTGTCGTTATTTCATGCCTGCTGAAATGTCACGCTCTCTCTCCTCGGGCAATGACACCTCGCACACACGCAGCACAAACAGACCCCCACTGAAGGGTCATTCTGATAATGGCGGATATGATGATTTTTAAGTGATTGTTAATGTTTAAAAGTGTGCCTTCATGAATTACATTAACAAACATTATAAAGCTAATTCCATGACCTTACAAACCCTCATTTGACAACTTGGAACAGCACATGATGCGCATTCGGTTTGGCGCATTTTCAATCTGCACAATATCGAACAGCCTACTGTCACGCACAGATTCACAGACTAGCGGCAAATAAACTTGAACTAAGCGGAATCAGGAAATGAATGCCCACTCTCCATTGCTATTCAATGCAGATCCTGCCTTCATCCGCTTTGAGCAACCTTTTTTTGCCTCCGTGTGTGAATCTGGGCCGGTGATAGGCTACTTTGTTTTATAGTGGAGCCGGTATGCTGGTAAGGCGCTCCGGACAGCTCCGGCCCAAGTCAAGCAACGCATGTCCGCAAAAACACTACAGTGAAATCTATAGTATACTAAAGTCAAGTCCGCAAAAACACTACAGTGAATACTATAGTATTCCCCTTAAATCACTCAAGTGTTGCTTTAGTAATATGCTTAGGGTCATTGTCCTGCTGGAAGATGAACCTCCGTCCCAAATCTCTGGAAGACTGAAACAGGTTTCCCTCAAGAATTTCCCTGTATTTAGCACCATCCATCATTCCTTCAATTCTGACCAGTTTCCCAGTCCCTGCCGATGAAAAACATCCCCACAGCATGATGCTGCCACCACCATGCTTCACTGTGGGGATGGTGTTCTCGGGGTGATGAGAGGTGTTAGGTTTGCGCCAGACATAGCGTTTTCCTTGATGGCCAAAAAGCTCAATTTTAGTCTCATCTGACCAGAGTACCTTCTTCCATGTTTGAGGAGTCTCCCACATGCCAAACGTGTTTGCTTATTTCTTTCATTAAGCAATGGCTTTTTTTCTGGCCACTCTTCCGTAAATCCCAGCTCTGTGGAGTGTACGGCTTAAAGTGGTCCTATGGACAGATACTCAAATCTCCACTGTGGAACAGCTCCTTCAGGGTTATTTTTGGTCTCTTTGTTGCCTCTCTGATTAATGCCGTCCTTGCCTTGTCCGTGAGTTTTGGTGGGCGTCCTTCTCTTGGCAGGTTTTTTTGTGGTGCCATATTCTTTCAAATTTTTTTATAATGGATTTAAAAATGGTGCTCCGTGAGATGTTCAAAGTTTCTGATATTTTTTATAACCCAATCCTGATCTGTACTTCTCCACAACTTTGTCCCTGACCTGTTTGGAGAGCTCCTTGGTCTTCATGGTGCCGCTTGCTTGGTGGTGCCCCTTGCTTAGTGGTGTTGCAGACTCTGGGGCCTTTCAGAACAGGTGTATATATACTGAGATCATGTGACAGATCATGTGACACATATTGCACACAGGTAGACTTTATTTAACTAATTATGTGACTTCTGAAGGTAATTGGTTGCACCAGATCTTATTTAGGGGCTTCATAGCAAAGGGGGTGAATACATATGCACACACCACTTTTCCATTATTGATTTTTTTGAAACAAGTTATTTTTTAAATTTCACTTCACCAATTTGGACTATTTTGTGTATGTCCATAACATGAAATCCCAATAAAAATCAATTTAAAATACAGGTTGTAATGCAACAAAATGGGAAAAACGCCATGAATACTTTTGCAAGGCACTGTAAATATAGCAATACTGCAGTATTTAGACCATTGCTTACTATAGTATTTTTTCCCCATGTGGGCACACACAATGGGGTGAATAACATGGAAAGTTTCTCACTTTAACTTTGGGTGAGTAGATAAAAAAAAAAGTGTTATAATATATAAGAGCAACATACATAAAAAGTAAATGCTGTTTATGGTTTCCCGAGGGAAGACTAATTCAACCAGGGGAGGTGCAGATTTCTTGTTCAGTCTGAACTTTAATGAAGAGGCATTTGGACAATTTAACAGGAAATTAGCTAGATAATTTTGATGGCCTTGACAGCTTGAGTCAAAACCTCAGTTTAATCGTCTCATCTACATAACTGATAAAAGCTTTTGGACAGACAGATGAGGTCTACTTGGGTAAAAGGACTTCAGCCCCCTGAGACACAAACGAGACAACTCAGCCAAACATTTTGAGAACATCAGAAAAACCAACAAAAATCAAGAGAACGAGATGTAATAAACAGTCACTTCACATTGGGCACAGATGTCAGTGCAACGCCTATTCCACGTAGGTTCAACCAGTGTGTGCCCAGTGGGTTAGTTTGCCGGGAGAAGGGACCAAAGTTTAAACTCTTTGCTCTGAGGCTGCTGATGCATTTTGAGTTGGACCTTTGCCCGTAGTGAAGGCCTACTCTACTTAGAGTGATTCATCAGGTCTTACACAGCCTTGAATCCTCTGACAGAATGTGCTGAGACATCGCACATCCAGACCCACTGATTCTGACTTTCACACACACACAGTGATCACACATTTTATGTTTTCTGTTGCAGGGACATTTGGCAGACCAGTCACCCAGGGAGTACTGAGGAACAGATTGACTTTAATATTCCCATATGCATCGAATTTGGCACTAAATAGAGAGGAGATAAGAATACATTACAAAGGAAAACAATGAATAACAGATTAAGGGTGGAATAAAAACAACCTTGGCTGGGAGAGTAATAGTGGAGAGTAGCTAAGGTGTTCTCAAGTCAAGTCAATAGTCGATGCACCCACTGCAGAGGGCCTTTCTGACAAGCTGTGATCATGGGGGTTCTGGAATATTTCATGGCACTTATCCAAAAAAGTGCTTCTTAGTCAGTTATAAAAAGTCCTTCTCATCATATTGATAGGAACCACAGGAGGCTGCTGAGGGGAGCACAGCGAAAACGGGATGGCATCAAATACATGGAAACCATGCATTTGATGTATTCCACTCAAGCCATTACAACGAGCCCGTGCTCCCCAATTAAAGTGCCATCAACCTCCTGTGATAGGGACCCACACTCTGTGTGCACTCACGGGCATGCAACACTTAGTAAAACTCATCGCTCCCATTGAAGATCCCACTCACACCTGCAGAGCTTCAGGATGACGGCAAGCACAGTGGTCTTTCTAAACACATTAAAACAGGTGGATGTTGTGTGGAGGAGCTCTCTCCAAGGGGATGGCTCTGACATTTTGTCTCCATTGATACCGCTATCAAGTGTAACAATGGAGGCGATGATGATGGCGGTTACCATGACGACGTTGGCCAGGTGCGCCGAGCACAGAGCATAGACCCCCCCGGAGCCCCCCACCACTGGAGCGCGCATGTCTGTGATGGACACCGTCAGGGAACCTGAAGAGAGAGAGAGATGGAGAGAGAGAAAGAGGGGGAGGAGAGGAGACAGAGAAAGAGATATGGCGGGAGAGAGAAGACGTTCAGAAAGAGAGAACGCATGAGTGAAAGAGGAACATGTCCGGGGAAAAAGAAAGAGAGGGAGGGTTAAGTTACTCATCATCAAACAGCAGTTTCAGTCACCTTTCTTCCAACATCCCCCAGAACCCAAAATAACACACCCTGTCTGTCTGTCTGGTGTGAGTTGACTTGCCCTCTTTACATCTGTACACCGACACACTTTGCTTTTCTCTTCTGTGCTGCTGTGCACATGCTTACACTGTAGCGCAGGTCCCAGCACAACTACCTGGCCCATAAACTAGAACAGTCACGTTAACATTTTATGACTATGGTCTGTTCTGTTTATCTTATATACTTAGACACATATTAACCTCATGGGGCCGCTACAAAGACCATAACCTACACATATCACATAGAGCCCATAAGAGGAGGGTTTCTTTATGATGTCGTTGTGCTATAATGCTATGATACTATGATGTCCTCTTGATCCCATGCAGATTATACTGACACTTTGAGCATTGGCTTTTGATACATTCTCGGTCACAAATGACTGAAAGTGTTATAGAAATAAGATAGAGTCCAATTGAATTAGATTTGTCATTTGTTTAGGATGCTCAAGAAAACTGTCAATGAATGCCGTACACCAATGAATTCCCTTATACAAAGTTTAATATGACAACAAATGCCTAGTATGACTACTCTGGGAGATAACTGTAATTAGGTTCCCAAAATAGACATGCTACACAGACCAATCAGCTGGATGACTTCAGCAATTCCATATAAGACGGTCTGTATTCATGAGAAAAGTCTAATCAGAAATATGCATAGCATGGCTATGGGCCAATTCCTCTGCTAGACTGAACGTAAAATGATTGGTTAATTGAAGGTGGTTCTGACACTGGCAAACTAAATGATGGGGCAAACAGTGTGGCCAGAGAGAGACTGGAGTTGAACATTTAAGTGTCTCTATGGTTGAACTATATTTACATGTAATTATATGGGTAGCAGGTACTGTCTAGTTGTGCAGAAACAAATTGTCACAGCATTTACAGCAGGAATATTGATGAAAACCTCCCTTCACTAATTATTGTCTCAAATCACACAGTAAAACTTAAGTGCTTTGTCGCAAATGTGTTTTCAAGTCAAACTGTGCAAGCCATAAAGATATAGCAATCATTCTACGTGTCACAGTGTGTCCTCACTGTTGTTCTACTGACCCGCCAATGCAATCACCATGTAAATACAGTTTTAGTGACACTCGCTATGAAGTAGGAAATTATCTTAAGCAGTAAATCACAGTGACAGCTGCTCACAAGGACACCATCAGCCATCGCTAATTATCCAAATGAGCAGATAACAGAAATGAAAAAGGGCTGATAAAACAAGTTACTTTCTAATCACAGCAGGGGTGTGCCAGCGTTCTGATCGCAGATCTATAATGTATGTTCCATTGGTATTCTGTGTGCGTGTGCACGCGCAGAGAGACCAGAGAGTTAACAGCTCCTTAAAGAGCGCCCTGTCAAGCCTTTGGTGGTGATCATCATCAGATGACAGATGGTAATCGGAGTGTGGTTCCTGAGTCATTTATCCCCCCTCTCCCCGACACTCACACGTCTGTTACATAGATTTATGGAAGATACGACGCTTGATGAAGTGGGTGCTGCAGCTCAAGACTTGTAAAGATCCATGGTGCCTCATTTTTAGTGGTTCCAAGAAATTGCAATTACACACTGAGTGGCATATGTGCTCTCTGATCTCTTCAAAGTCAAGAAAAAACAGAATTGGAGCAACTTTCACACAGACTATGGTGACCAGATTTAGAAAATAAAAATCTGGGGGGAAAAAATCAAAATCTATAGTGTGAAACTACAACTACACATTTTCGCTTTTGTCCTTTCAAAACAGTGCTATTAATTATTATACAGAAATGGATTCCCCCTCCACATTTATTTCCACATTTTGTTACGTTACAGCCTTATTCAATCTACACACAATACCCCATAATGACAAAGCAAAAACATAAAAAAATAAACAACGGAAATATGACATTTACATAAGTATTCAGACCCCTTACTCAGTACTTTGTTGAAGCACCTTTGGCAGTGATTACAGCCTTGAGTCTTCTTGGGTAGGACGCTACAAGCTTGGCACACCTGTATTTGGGGAGTTTTTCCCCCATTCTTCTCTGCAGATCCTCTCAAGTTCTGTCAGGTTGGATGAGGAGCGTCACTGCACAGCTATTTTCAGGTCTCTCCAGAGATGTTAGATCGGGTTCAAGTCAGGGCTCTGGCTGGGCCACTCATTGAGACTTGTCCTGAAGCTACTCCTGCGTTGTCTTGGTTGTGTGCTTAGGGTTGTTGTCCTGTTGGAAGGTGAACCTTCACCCCAGTCTGAGGTCCTGAGCGCTCTGGAGCAGGTTTTCATAAAGGATATCTCTGTACTTTGCTCCGTGCATCTTTCACTCTATCCTGACTAGTAACCCAGTCCCTGCCGCTGAAAAACCTACCCACAGCATGACGCTGCCACCACCATGCTTTACCGTAGGGATGGTGCCAGGTTTCCTCCAGACGTGACGCTTGGCATTCAGGCCAAAGAGTTCAATCTTGGTTTCATCAGACCAGAGAATCTTCTTTGTCATGGTCTGAGAGTCCTTTAGGTGCCTTTTGGCAAACTCTAAGTTGGCTGTCATGTGCCTTTTACTGAGGAGTGGCTTTCGTCTGGCCACTCTACCATAAAGGCTTGATTGGTGGAGTGCTGCAGAGATGGGAGAACCTTCCAGAAGGACAACTATCTCCACAGTCGAACTCTGGAGCTCTGTCAGAGTGACCATCGGGTTATAGGTCACCTCCATGACCAAGGCCCTCCCCCGATTGCTCAGTTTGGCCAGGCGGCCAGCTCTAGGAAGAGTCTTGGTGGTTCCAAACTTCTTCCATTTAAGAATGATGGAGGCAACTGTGTTCTTCGGGACCTTCAATGCTGCAGAAATGTTTTGGTACCCTTCCCCAGATCTGTGCCTCGACACAATCCTGTCTCGGAGCTCTACGGACAAGTCCTTTGACCTCATGGCTTGGTTTTTGCTCTGACTGTCAACTTGGGACCATATATAGACAGGTGTGTGCCTTTCCAAATCATGTCCAATCAATTTAAATTACCATAGGTGGACTCCAATCAAGTTGTAGAAACATCTCAATTATGATAAATGGAAACTTGATGCACCTCCGCTCAATTTCGAGTCTCATAGCAAAGGGTCTGAATACGTATGTAAATAAGGTATTTCTGTTTTCTATTTTTAATACATTTGCAAACATTTCTAAAAACCTGTTTTCGCTTTGTCATTATGGGGTATTGTGTGTAGATTGATGAGGATTATTATTATTTTAATCCATTTTAGAATAAGGCTGTAACGTTACAAAATGTGGAAAAAGGGAAGGGGTCTGAATACCTAACGTGTTTGACTAATGAAATATCAGCTGCGATTTAACTTCAGAGTTACTTTTTTCTTTCTGATTGCTAATCGGGGACATTTCCGGGGAAGGCTCTAGCCGGGGACAGGCCAACAAAATCGGGGACTGTTCACGGAAATCAGGGACGTCTGGTCACCTTAACACAGACTACTCTGATGTTTTTAGGTCTTCCTCAAAGCCTAAAAAATATGAAGTCAATGTGGTTCAATTATTACTCCAATACAGAATGTATTGAATGTGGAGATATCTCTCCATAGACTGTCCCCCCCCCCCACAATTTCCAGTTGAGACTAGCTGTAAGTGAAGCTTTGATGCTTATTTGAACTGCAAAAGTGAATTCACAGAACAAATGCATGAGTTTCCATGAAACACAGCACGAGAGCCGTCTTCACGTTGTAATGCAGCTAAACTGGCATGCTGTCATAACAATATTTATTTATTTGTATTTATTTATTTCACCTTTATTTAACCAGGTAAGCCAGTTGAGAACAAGTTATCATTTACAACTGCGACCTGGCCAAGATAAAGCAAAGCAGTGCGATAAAAACAACAACCACACAGAGTTACACATGGGATAAACACAACATAAAGTCAAAAATACAACAGAAAATATATATACAGTGTGTGCGAATGTAGTAAATTATGGAGGTAAGGCAATAAATGGGCCATAGTGCAAAATAGTTACAATTTCGTATTAACACTGAAATGATAGATGTGCAAAAGATGATGTGCAAATAGAGATACTGGGGTGCAAATTAGCAAAATAAATAACAATATGGGGATGAGGTAGTTGGATGGGCTAATTACAGATGGGCTGTGTACAGGTGCAGTGATCGGTAAGCTGCTCTGTCAACTGACGCCTAAAGTCAGTGAGGGAGATGAGTCTTCAGCTTCAGAGATTTTTGCAGTTTGTTCCAGTCATTGGCAGCAGAGAACTGGAAGGAATGGCAGCCAAAGGAGGTGTTGGCTTTGGGGATGACCAGTGAGATATACCTGCTGGAGCGCAGACTACGGGTGGGTGTTGCTATGGTGACCAACGAGCTAAGATAAGGCGGGGAGTTGCCTAGCAGTGATTTATAGATTACCTGGAGCCAGTGGGTTTGGCGACGAATATGTAGTGAGGGCCAGCCAACGAGAGCGTACAGGTGAGTAGTATATGGGGCTTTGGTGACAAAACGGATGGCACTGTGATAGACTACATACAATTTGCTGAGTAGAGTGTTGGAGGCTATTTTGTAAATGACATCGCCGAAGTCAAGGATCGGTAGGATAGTCCGTTTTAAGAGGGCATGTTTGGCAGCATGAGTGAAGGAGGCTTGTTGCGAAATAGGAAGCTGATTCTAGATATAACTTTTGATTGGAGATGCTTAATGTGAGTCTGGAAGGAGAGTTTACAGTCTAACCAGAAACCTAGGTATTTGTAGTTGTCCACATACTCTAGGTCAGACCCGCCGAGAGTAGTGATTCTAGTTGGGTGGGCGGGTGCAAGCAGCGTTCGGTTGAAGAGCATGCATTTAGTTTTACTAGTGTTTAAGAGCAGTTGGAGGCTACGGAAGGAGTGTTGTATGGCGTTGAAGCTCGTTTGGAGGTTTGTTAACACAGTGTCCAATGAAGGGCCAGATGTATACAAAATGGTGTCGTCCGCATAGAGGTGGATCCGAGCGTCACCAGCAGCAAGAGCGACATCATTGATATACACAGAGAATAGAGTCGGCCCGAGAATTGAACCCTGTGGCACCCCCATAGAGACTGCCAAAGGTCCAGACAACAGGCCCTCCGATTTGACACATTGAACTCTATCTGAGAAGTTGTTGGTGAACCAGGCGAGGCA